TGATTGATTGATTGATTGATTGATTGATTGATTGATTGATTGATTGATCATCTTCAACTTCTTCTTCTTCATCATCAACATTTCAGTTTGGTTACTTTTCAGTCATCCTGTGCCTAATTTTATTTAATTATTTTGGGATCAAAGAAATATTTAATTCAGTTAATTTATTTATTAATTCACTAGTTCATAATCATCATCATCACCACCACCACCACCATCATCCTCCTCCTCATCATCGTCGTCGTCATCATTTTAGAGATCTTCAATCTTTAAACCAATACCCATATGTCTTGTTTATCTTGTTTATTAATGCTCATCGTTTGTTAGCATTGTTCGTCCTTCTCTTGTGTGTGGCGGTGAACATTTGTTTTGTTGTTCATTGTTTTTACTGTTGCTCGTTAGTTTGTTGTTGCTGTTCGTTGTTTGTATTAAATGGTTGTTTGATGCATGTCATTTGTTTTTTTCTAATGTTTGTTTGTTTGTTTATGTTTGTTTGTTTGTTGATGTTTGTTTGTTTATGTTTGTTTGTTTTTTCTGTTTGTCACTATTGTAAATTTTTCAAGAAATTGAGGTTGGTTATTAGTTGCGCCATTTATGGATATATGTTCACTCAGCCAGTTGTTCACTTGTTTGTAGTTTGCATTCTGTTGATGTTCACTGTTCTCTATGGTTTTTAACTTTTCGGTTCACTCATCTATGTGTTAATTGTTCATTTCACAACGAAGTATGATACTTTGACTCTATTCAAATACTTACATGACAATATAATACACAATTAAAGATGGAATCATAGACTCAAACTACAAGTCAAAATGCCCATGCCGGATCAAACATTAATAGCCAGGCTGAATAATGGCTGCCATTCTCTACGAAAAACTATTTTCCTACCAGTTGATTCAACCTACTTGCTGGCGGTCGTTCACTTCTCACATCTCAAGATTACATGGATTACAAGATTACATTTTGTGTTTTATTGCATTAACTCATGTAAATGGACAATTCGCACGTGACATAACAAGTGAGGATTGCTTACAGTCGAACCAGGTCACTGAGACGCAGAGCCAAACACTTTAACCACTACGTTTACTCTTCGAGCGTTATATATGCATTTGTTTGATTTGCTGTTTATATGTTTTAGTTTTGCTGCTACTGTGTATTGTCGTTGTTGTATGTATGTTGTTCTTGTTGTATGTTGTTGTTGCTGCTGTTGTGCATTTGTTTAATGGATCTTAGAAAATTTTATTTTAGCATGTCTCTTGCTTATTGATGGTGGTTTATTTGTTTATTGTTTGGTTGATGTCGTTGTTGATGATGTTGTTGATATTGTTGTTGATGTTATTGTTTGTATTATTGATGTTGTTGTTGATAATGTTGTTGAATATTTATTTTTTTGTTGTTTTGTGTTAGCTGTTCATGGTTATCTTAGCTTGTTTATTCATGCTCGATAGGCAGTTGTTTTTATATTGATGTGCATCAATACAGTTGTGTCGATAACTTTTTCCTGCACGCATTTGTTGTTTGCTGCTGCTGCTGTTGTTGTTGTTGTTGTTGGTCGTCGCATGAATTGTTGTGTTGTTGTTTATGTTGTTGTTTATGCTGTGTTGTTGTTTACGTTGTGTTGTTATTTACGTTCTCTATCTTGTTTTTAGTTTTGCTGTTGTTTGTGTTTTGCAAACATTTTTGGTTTGCTTCTTCTATATTTTGTTGTTCGTGTTTTGTTTACATCTATGCTACCGACGTTTAGTCGACATCTTTGTTGTTGTTTATGTTTTGCTGGCGTTTCTATTATTTAAACTCCGTTTATATTCTTGTTGGTTTTTGTTTTTTTGGCCTTTTTGTGTTGGTTTATGTTTTGCCGACATTTTGTTGTTGTTTATGTTTTGTTGGCATTTTTTTGTTGTTTATGTTTTGTTGGCATTTTTATAATTTAACTTTGTTGATGTTTTTAGTGTTTTTGTTGACATTTTTATTGTTTAGGTTTTGTTGATATTTTGTCCTTTACATTTTGTTGGCATTTTTGTTGTTGTTTATGTGTCAGAGGAGGCATGCGTCATGCAGTTGTTTACGAGATCCTTCATGTGCTTGCTTGGATGTTGTAGTCGTTGTTGTTGTAGTCGTCGTCGTCGTTGTTGTTGTCGTTGTTTATTTGACGAGTGCTGGTTGCTGAGTATGTCGTGTTGTTTAGTTGTTGTCATAATAATTAATTAATTCTACTATCTTTTTTTCAGCCATATAATCTCGACTCGGCTCTCACACCAATAAAACGAAAATGTTTGGCTGGGTTGTAGGAGATTACGCGTCACTTAGCGGCGCCTCTGACTTTGCCGTACTTTTGGTTTTTATCACGAGTCACCATTCAATCTACTTCATCCTGCTTGCTTTCTCTTATTTTGGACATTCGAACTTCAAAAACTGAACGCTGACATAGTAACGACAATATTTCGATATTACCTAACATCATTTTTAAAACGAAGTCATTCCATAATAACCTATGAAGCAGGTATCTCTGAATTACGTACGATTAAGAACAAAGCTAGATGACAGTTGAAATATTTTGAAATAAAATACAAAAACTATAAAATGAGAAAACAAATGAAACGAATCAGTGAAAATATTGTAAACAATCGACATAAGAACGTGGCACCAGCATGTTAACAGCCAAGCGCTTTTTCCTTTTGTGACGTTTTAAATTCAAAAATTTGGCAGTCATCATCAGTTTGAGCACCAGCGTAAGAGGAATTTTGTCCGTCTGTTTCATTCGTCACAAAATTATTAGTAGCCTCATTCATTCAAACATCCGACATAAGCATGACACCAAAGTATCTACAATCAAACCAAGTTTTGCCATTGTGATTCATGAATGTCAAAATTTGGCAATCATCATCAGGATGAGCACCAACGCAAGGAGAATTCTGTTCCATTGCTTCATTCGTCACAAGATTATCATTATTATTGTTAGCATTCCTGTCTTGCACTGATAATGAACTTGATACATTTGATGTTTTCTTCTCCTTTAAGTATTTGCCCAAATTAAGTTTTATTAACAAGCATGAAGTATCATGAAATATGTAGAGGAAGTTGTTGATGGTGATGGATGGTAAGTCACACACAGGTAACTTCAGCTTCAACACAGATGACCACTGATCACTCTCCACATCATACATCTCTCCATCCTTTGTTGATTGAATTATTCATTTATATTAAAATTAACGTTCATATTGCTTGATATAATATTACACATCTTAAATTATTTAGTAAATTAAAAAGTTGGAGACATCATATAACCTACTCAATTACTTACTAATGAAAAACAAAATATATAAAAGGGATCGTAACGACAAAGTTAAGCATACCAACCATTATTTCTTCTTTAAGGAAATCAAATGGCTCTGATTCATATGCCTCAGTTTTACCTCCAACGACAAAAATCTTATTTTCCGTGCATGTCATAACGTGGGAGAAACGAGCCGTTAACATGGGAGCCCTCGAGAACCATTTGTTGCAAGAAGGGTCATACCGGTACACCTGATTCTGTGCAAAGAATTCTTCATCAGCCCCGCCACTAACAAACATCATACCATTGCACACACAACCTGTTAATGGGTGAATTTGTAAGTCTGGTTATGGTGTATTATATATTATTATTAAATGAGTATTTATATAGCGCCTTTAAAGGGAACTTTTCAAAGCGCTCTCATAAAATACCAATGCACAATCGTAAAAAACCAATCAAACCACAAATTAATCAAAAGTAAAAGATAAAGTCTCGATTTCTATTTTTTTTAGATGCTCAATGACATCAGACGAGAAACATTTCCCAACGTTGCTTATGTGAAAAATCTCTTACAAACGATCGATGGTTTATTCGCCTCAATTTTTTAAACCAGTAGCAGGACGCAAATCAATGACAACTATGGGTACATTTTCTTCATGGGTACATTTTCTTCATGGGTACATTTTCTTCATGGGTACATTTCTTCATGATCACATCCATGCGTCACTCGATTTTTCCGTCTATGGACTTTTTTGAAAGCGTCACAATCACCATCAGTATTTCGACCCTGAACTTCAATGAACCCATCGGAATCTCCATCACTTTTCATAAAATAATTATAATTTGCATCATAAATCATTGGAGTGCGAGTAATATTTTCAATTTTATTAATGATTATGTCCTGATTACATAAAATACTATTAATTAAGTATATATATATATATATTATTACAGAAATTTATACAGCGCTTTTTAATTTTTGAAACTCAAAAGCGCTACTGAATCATAGACAAGTAAATAAGTTTTAAGCTGACTTCGAAATTGTTAATATGGTAGGTTAGGGTCACGTAAGTAAGGAGGTAAACCATTCCAAACAACCGGGCCATGAACCGCAAAGTTGCGGGAACCCGTCGCTTACTTTGTAGTTGGGATAAGAAATAAATTGAGCTCGGTTGATCGGAAGGAATATTTTGAAAAATGAGGTTTGTATGATTTCAATCTATCGATGAGATAGGGAGGTGCTGTATTATTGACACATTTAAACATAAAAATTGCTAACTTGAAGAAAACACGTTTCTCAACCCTCAACCAGTGCAACTTATTCAAAATAGGCGTAACGTGATCGAACCATGAACCACCCAAAACTAGCTTGGCCGCACGATTCTGTATTGACTGAAACTTTTAAAAAGACCTTTTGGTGACACCATAAAAAATATTTAGGAACATTTAAACAATATATATTTGAATAATTTATTAAAATTTAAACAATAATTTTACTGTTAAAATTGAAATAGATACCGCAAATGAAAGATGATTATTATAGATGTTAAGGTAAATTAATCAGACCTGCGAGAGATGTCACAGCAAGAGGTATAGGTTCCACCATGTACCATCGGTTTTCACTCGGTACGTATTTTTCCACTGTTGGAGTTAAGCCGTGGCGAGTTCTTCCCGAAACTGCATATAGATGGCCAGATAGTCCTCCCAAATAGAAATCACGCCTCGGAAGATGCATGTTGGGACACTGAATATTTATGAGATGATAAGTATTAGTACAATACTAAATCACTTGTTAAGTTGATATTGAAATATTCAAAATTTGTACACATTGCATTTAAGGCGTGCCGTAGAATGCACTACAGCAGCTATTGATAAGAAAGAATAATTTCATTCAATTACACGTTTCAATTAGAAAAAATGAGTTCATAAAATATAATTTAAAAATTGTAAACCTTAGACCAGACTGCATCAACCGGATTGTACACAAAACTTTCACGAGAGATCATATTATTACGGGTTTCTTCTCTGATCAGATACAAACAGTTGTCAACCACACAGGCAGTATAACAAAACGAATCAAATGGCGGTTGCTTTCTTCTTGATGGTTTGAATTTAATTGGAGATGGTTCAGTGCCGTCACCACTGATCGTGCTAGCTTCAACAAAATCATAAACTGGCAGAATATTAAAAAAGCTTTTAGCCTGATGCTAAAATAAAAAAAAATTAGAAAACGAATGAAAATTTGAGAAAGTAACAATGTAAATAAATTCAAACCTTTTTTTCAGTTGATCCAATCACAAAGAGCATACCAACTGTACGAGAAATATTTGAATCTTTATCTTTACTACAGCTAATATTTAAATTCAAATCATGAAGTATGGCAGTGTATTTTTGTTTTTCATTGGTTGTCATCAGATTGTACCTCACTTCGGTCAACAATTTTTCAGCAAAACATTTTCTCGACTGATCCTCCGAAATCCACTTGATTATCAGATTAAAAATTTCAATCTCACTGTCTGCATTTATTTCCTCCGATGCAACCAAGTAAAACATTTCGTCAGGTGATAATAATGTTTTGGATCTTTCCGAGATTTCTTTAAAATTTTTCGACATGTATTTGATAACTTTTTTGACCACCTGGTTAATTAAAACGTGCTTGTTTGCAATGTCCAAGACACGAATACATGTTGACTCGTCCAAATGTTTCAGCAACAATTCAATGTAACCATCAATCATATCATTGATTAATAGATAGAAGGCGCCATCCAACCCTGCTTCCACTTCATTCAACGACTTCAGGTGAGGACCTCCGTTTTCCATCACGTTGGTTGACAACTTTGATAAATAATCTTTTACTTCTATTAAGGATTCATCTGTTAAACATTCCAAAGTAAGCTCTCTATAATGGGCATCTCTCATTCCACTGTTCGCCAAACCATGGAAATAACCACTGGTCCGAAGAAGCATGTTTCTGTCAACTTGATGACCACCTCCTGACTTTGAAATTAATACAATTTGTTCTCCTGTTGAACCATCATTACTTTCTGCGTCATTTTCATTCTTCTTCATCTTCAGCTCTGTCACAATTTCGCAACAATTATGAATTTAAATTAAACGGCTGCAATGCAATACAGTAAATTTTGACAGATATTCTATGCTCATTCAAAATATTATTAACAGGTTTGGATATCTTTTAAGCAGTTTTCTTTTTTACTACGTTCATTCACTAATTTCAAATCTCCATAGATAAATTCATTATATTATGCCTTATTTAACTATGTTCCTTTATTTATATTTATTCATTATATTTTGACAGATATTATCAGCAGGCTTGGATATCTTTTAAGCAGTTTTCTTTTTTTCCCAATTCACTAATTTACAATCTCCATAGATAAATTTATTATATCATACCTTATTTAACTATGCACATGTGTCTATGTTTCACTAGGATCATTTGCCTTGTCTTATATTTTGGTAAATTCATTCAACATCTCAGAAACTAAAAAAGTTGGAAGAGGACCAAATAGCTGTCGGCATAAACCACGTCGTCTTGTTTCAAAGTCAAGGCTTCTTGATCAAATCGGTAACTGAGGTAATACTACCTTTGCGAATAAAACACTGGTCAAAAAATTAGATTCAATACCAGATACTCTGTACAAATTTGCGATAAAATATCTAAAATAACAACTGCCGACCAACGCAAATCTGTTCAGATGGGGGAAGACTGTTGACCTGTTGTGTCCTCTCTGTGGCGCTAAACAGACAAAGAAGCATGGGGTGTCCAACTGTAGAACCATAGCTGCATTGAAACGTTATATTGAACGCCATGACATGATATTGTCGGAAATCGTTAATTGTTTGCTATCGTGCCGCTGCTATTGTCTGATATTCGCAGAGATCGAAAGAGTCCTGCCAATGTCGCAACTGTTTGTCAATCTTCGTCAAAACATCGCCATTCTACACAACAGAAGAATTGAGATCGTGGAGTTGACGGTATGTCACGAGACAAATTTAATCCAATCCAGAAGCTTCAAACAATCGAAGTAGAAAAACAACTTAAGTTCAAGTTCAAAAACTGTTTGATTATTCTAGATACGTTCGAAATTACTCCTATTGGCTTTTTTAATACAGTTATAACCGACCCCTTGAACTTGTAGGGTATGGTTATTTCTCTTTACGTGAATTCTTGACTCCTTTACAGACTTATTTCAGAAGACTTTATTAGAAAGAAAAGTGCTGGCAATACACTTGTGTGTATTGCTGTGATCAATCACTCGTTTATTCAATCGTTAAAATCGTTAGAACACAGCACAATAGCTAAGCGAACCTTAAACCACGGAATACAACTATTCATCGGTAGTTAAACTTCTCTAGTCAGACTAATTACATTGAGTTCTCTCTTTACCCCAGTGAGTTTCCAGGTATCCAAATCTTACCTCCGTCACCAGTGTGTAATCTCCTGAAGATCCCACTTCTAACACCAGTGTCGTAACCTCTTCGACCTCGTAACTACCAACACCGATGTCATAGCTTCAGTACTCGTCTTATCCCCTACCTTTTTTTTTTTTTTACAACCGTTTTAAATAGTTACGCCATCTAATTAAATTTGCAAGCGCTTCTCTTAATTTCTAACTACTAGTTCTTATCTCGCCTTCACGTCTGTAACAATATTTTCAATTTACAATTAATTAAAATTTCATGGCCTATTTCTTTTATTGACAAATTAATTAACTCTGTAATTAAACCGGCGTACGCCAGCGATTGCAACAGTTTAATTGTGCCACCTAAACCTAAGTAACTTATCATAAATAATGGGTAATAGGGTTTTATTGTGCATTTAATTTTATTTTTTATGCCATTGATTTCCTGTAATAAAAAAGTTTTAATTGCTATTATTATCGTTGTTATTATTTGAAATTTGCAATTTAATCAATTAAAGTTGGATCTACCGTTGGACAAATGATGAATCTCCTCGGACGTTTGTGTACCTCAGACGACGACGTATTTCACCAGCGAAAGTCGATGAACTCCTTTTTAAATTTGAGTAATTCGATACCTGAAAACTTCAATGAACAAAAATTTGCTAACAATCAAAACGGGAACATAAGAAAGGCAAACGAAAAACCAAGCTAAACATGCAAACAAGAAGGCAAACAAGCAGGTAAAAGAGAAGGAAAACATCAAGAATTGTTTTTTTTTGCAACGGGCGAGGTATATATACCCTCCGCCTTTGTTACTTCTTCATACATACATGCATACATACCTACTAAGCGCCTGTCTTTGCTTCACTTTATGAATATTTATACTGCCCAGTATGTATTGGCTCGACTTTCTTTCTAGCCTTGCTTGTTCACTACTGTTAAATTGCACGTGATGAATAATTATACTGCTCAGCAGTATCGTGTGTGCTTGTCTTTGTCTATGTTTTCTTTAACACACAGCCGAGACGATTCGGTTATTACCATTACTATTGTTATTATTATGACTATAATTATTATTAAAATTTCTACGTGTCGATTTCACAAAGTACCACCTCTCCACTGAACGTTTATAAAATAGTAATTTGTTATTGCTGTTTTGATTTAGAGCTTTTGGAAATATGTTTTGTTTCTAAATTTTTGATTTTATTTTAATTTTTTCTTTCGTTATCAATTTTGTGAAAAATGGAAAAATTGGAGATAATAGGGAAAACGTGGGAATGATAGAGCATGGGAAAGAAACGCTGTCGTAAATGGAAAATCAGCACAAAACTGTTAAGTTACAAACTATTTATTAACCAAACGTTTGTTCTTGATTTATTATAAATTGTTCTATGACCCCAACGGGAACAACACTATGTAATGTTTGTAACTTAACCAGGTTTTGCTGTCACAAACAAATAAATAGCACAAAGAAATAAATATCCTGCCAAAACATTGAATAGTTAGTTGAATCAATTATACAAAAAAATCATTTTTTCGAAATTAGCACGATAAGAATTCTTGGCAATGCTTAAAGCTTCAATATTCGTCCAAACCACAATCGTTTCGAAGGCTTAATTTAAATTTCAAAAGATAATTGTCATGTTAAATTCTTTTGGCAACTTTTTTCAAACAATTTACTCTTAAGTATTTTTAAATTTTCATTAATATCCAATTATATGCTAGAAATGTTCATCAGATCGGCCAAAATTGCATAAATTTATTAGATGACAGAATGCTGCAAAATTCAACAGATTAAACAGCAAATATGACAAAGTGCCCTCGAAAGTTTCGAGATTGGATGAACATCAGGAAACAACACGAAGAAGTTGTGTCCCGTCTATAAGATGTATGTATTGATGTTATACAAATTGATTGCATATATTAATAAAATCAACTAAGCATTTTAGGCTTTGAAAGAGGACAAAAACAAAATAAATAAGATTTCGGGACCGGGTTTTCGAAGCCATATTAGCAGTTGACCTAATTTGAATCAAGTTTTATGAAAAATTAAAAATATTTTATATTAAATTTTTTCATAGTTCCAGGGCGGCGTGATGGTCTTATGGTTAAGGTCACTTTTTACCCAATATATAAACGTCCATTAACTAATTTTGCAAACATAATTTAATAAAAAATTAATCAAAATGTCATTTACGTATGCAACTCAAAACCTGTCTACGTTCTTTAACAAAAAAGATTGATTACTGCGTGCAGGCAATGGAGATATGAAATTTTTTTATCTAAAATATATATGTGCAAGCATGTAGTCAACAAACAAACATGCGTACTAGGGTGGCTACAACGATATAAGTTAAAAGTTTTTTTTTTTTGAAAATATTAAATGGGGAAACCCCCAAAATTGTCCCACTTGGCTTTAAAAGGACATTTGTAAAGTTTTTAGCTCAATTGGATTATGCTAACCAGTGCCTCATCGAGGTTGAAATCTTGAAAAATTGAAATTATTTAGAAAAACATCTTTTTTTATAAAATGAAAATGGTCTTTGAAATAAGATTTTAATTTCATTTTGTTAATCTGTTTGTTTTATTGAAATTGTATCATTAACATTATTTAGCTAAAATTTAAAGTTTCTGGGATATTAGAATTTTTACCCTTATACCATGGAAAAAATTTAAATTTTTTTGTTTTTTATTTGAAGGATGACTAAAAAAAGATAAACTTGTGGATAGGCCACCGTTAGCTAAAAAATTCCAACTATAAATGTAACAGAAATGTCAAATAAATACATACAAATAAACTCACGCTCACGCGCGCGCGCACACACACACACACACACACACACACACACACACACACAGACATACATCATACTAATATTCATATCATAATACTTTTATATTTCTAAACGGTAACAATTAAGTCACAACTAAGACTAAACTTTAAAATTATTAATAGTGTAATATTATTTAAAATAAACGTTTTTTCTAACTATAAGAGTTTTTAACTTGTTTTTAAATAAGTATAATGAGTTAATAACTTTAATTTCATGTGGCAATACAGTATTTCAAAATACAATGTCAAATTTTTTTACTTTTAGCAATGGCATTCAAACGAAATTTACTAGACACACCTCCCTTTTCTTTTTCCATACTGTGAAATTAACAGTTTTTCACTCAAGCATCAAACTTGTTTTTGTGCTGTTTTTTAAAATTCCAAATTTTTCAAGATTTCAACCTCGATGAGGCACGGATTGGCATTATCCAATTGAGCTAAAACTTTAAAAATATCATATTTTAGCCAAGTGGCACAATTTAGAGGGTTCCCCCGTTATGATTTCAAAAAAATATTTTTTTGTGACCACCCTACTATTCACAGTCAATCATCATATCTTATTTGGTTAAACTTGTCAAAATTTTATATAATTAAACTAAATCCTACTGTGTTTATTTTTTTCACTTGAAGAGAAATATAATGCACACTTTTTGTTTACGTCATTAAAGAACAACCGGTAAAATGCCGTCGAAATGCCAACACGTGACGAGGTACGTTGTCCATTGTTCGGAAGTTGAAGCTGATCTGCTCGCTGATTTCAAAAAATAATATCGTTTGCTACGCAACGATGATAAATTCAAAAATTCATTTGCAGA